TGCCGTTTGGTGAGCTCATGTGGGTCTCGGTGTCAGACGCTAGTCTACAGTGCAGCAGTGAAAGGGGGCTCGCAGGGTGCGTTCGCCACTATTGCTACCAGGCATGGAGTTGCAGACGGCCAGCGGAGGCGGGCGAGTCTTCTAGCTTGGAGGAGCTCGCGGATGAGTAGGGTGGTGGATTCCAACGAAGCGCGGCCACACCTTCGCCATCATCGGCCTGAGCAGCGGCGCCAGTGCTGACCCTTGCATCGACCCCAACATCGACGTCAGCATCAACTCCAACTTCAACAGCAAGGGACAATACGGCATTGACAATAGCAACATAATCGTAACGTGCGTTATCACCGACGCCAGCATCGACGCGCGCACCCATGCCAGCATCGACGCCCGCACCTGCCCTCATGACAGCGTCGAAGATGGCCTTCCTACGCGCCCATCGGAAGAGGATATAAATAATTGCCATCTCTTCCTCGGCGGAAGGCGGCGGAAGCTGGCGGAAGTAAAATGAAGCCGCCTCCGGCGGCGCAAGCCGGCGGAATGCAGGCGGAAGCTGGCGGAACAAAAATCGACCTTCCAAGAGATGGCATCATTCTTTCGTTCAGGGACTCCCGAGTCGGCCATGAATGGAGCTTGCCTTCTCCCACAGCTTTCTCACTCGGGACCCTCATCCCGAAGATGCGGCACGCAAACAGAAAGAAGGCCCCCGTTTTTACCGCCTGTGGTGTAACCTTGATAACGCGTCCACATGTGCAGCCGACCCGCATAGTAAGGATACCCTTGCATCCTGGCCCCTCCGGCCCCTCTTTGGCCACCTTCGCTGGCCGTGCCCCGCTCGTAAAGCTTCGACATGGCCTTCTATGGTCCTCGCTTCCTTACCGCGCGTCCTGATTGTACGGGTGGACGTGACATGGAACATCACATCGCCTGGCACTGTCTGTACATACATGATTGATGATCGTATTTGCCTTATCGCTAGCATCGCATGAAGCATGTGGCGACCTGATTCTGTCAACTCTAGAGTTAGGTCTGGCATGCCCCCTCAACAGGCAGAATTTGGGCGAAACATATAAAAGACTCAATCAATACACGCTGGTCGTTGAACATCTGTATTTTTGGATTCCCACATCCCAATCTACTTCAAGCGCCTCCCTACTTCAAGAATCGGCTTGCTGTTGCTGTGTTTTGTTATTCACTGGGAGGGTCTGGACCCAATCCACTTTATCCGCCTTCCTACTTCATGTTTTTACCTACTCCTTCCGACCGACGTGTGTTCAAACATAGCCAGCACATGTGCAAAGCATGGCCCCCATATTTTTTGAGTATTCTTGAACATTTCCCTGAAGAGGGACGTGCCCGACCCTTAGTGGGCCCTGGAAACGACAGGGCCGTTTTTTTACCGGTTCCGTTTTGCCGTTTTTTTGCTGGTTCCGACGCCGTTTTTTTACCGGTTCCGTCGCCGTTTTTTGACCGGTTCCGGCCCCAGTTCCAATCCTGGCGCCGTTTTTTTGCCGTTTCAGGTCGCCGTTTTTTGCCGTTTCCACTTTCAAGGGACATTTTTTTGGAAACAGTGAAAAAACGGACCTGCCGTTTCCGGGGCCCACAAAGGCCCGACTTGCCTTCGCAGCGTCCGTGCCACGGAGGCCTGTGCCTGGGCCTCCTCGTGGCAGCCTGCCGGGCGCGGCAGTGCGCGCGCCGCTCTGTCCCCCCGGCGGTCCTCCGCGCGGGCCCCCCTGCGCTGCCCCTGCGCCCCCACGCCCCCACTCCCCCCACTTCGGCACCACCCAAACATGAGGAGGAGGAGGAGGAGGAGGAGGAGAGGAGGAGGAGGAGGAGGAGGAGGATAGAGGAGTGGAGGAGGAGGAGGAGGAGGGAGGAGGGGAGGAGGGGAGGAGGAGGAGGAGGAGAGAGGAGGAGGGAGGAGGAGGAGAGGAGGAAGAAGAAGAAGAAGCAGAAGCAGAAGCAGAAGCAAAGAAGAAGAAGAAGAAGAAGAAGAAGAAGAGGAGGAGGAGGAGGAGGATGAGGAGGAAGAGGACTAGAGGGAGGGGGAGGAGGAGGAGGAGGCGGAGTGGGAGACTATTTGATGGTTTTCGGATTCATTGTTTTGCCGATCGGCGCGGGCCCTCGCACCACCCTCCCCCTCCCACCCCCTGTGGAGTAGATCCTGGCTTTTTCTGACGCCCGTTACGAGCAGGCGGGGTCTTCCTGGGACGCACTGCGGCAAACAGTCGCATGGAGCAGAGGTCTGGAGCCAGAGACCCCCCCCCCTCCCCCATCCCCTTCCGCACAATGTCGAAACGGTAAATTAGAACACATTCGCATGGGTGCGCCGCCCTGCAAAGGGGCGACGCCGCGCGCGCGCCGAGCAATCCTAAACATTGTGTGCTCGGTGGCGGGCGCGGCGTTCCGGCCGTACCGCTCGGGACACGAGTGCACTGCAAGACGGTCGCCTGACATGTTCGGGCGGGGCCCACGCCGCTCTCGACACCACCTCGCGGACCGGCTCATCGCCGCGGGTCATTGGCAGATGCTCCTGGGGCCCCAACATGGCCTCAGTGGGGTCTCAAAGATTCGGGACGCTGGAGGTGCGCGGAGCGCCTGGACACATGGCACTCGCATGTCCTTCTGCGTCCCACCGCTCCCCTCTGCCACCCGCGCGTCGCCGATGCGGCGTGGCCGCCCCGCCCTCTGCTCTTCTGCCTCCCTGTGCCCAGCTCGCGAGCCCGCAGCCCGCCCTGCCGCCCCTGCCGCGCGGGAGCCGCCCGCCGGCGCCGCGGCTTCGGAGCCGCTGACGCTTCTCTTGCTCTCCCAAGTCTCGGCCACGCGCAGAGGGGGTAATTCGTCGGAAACTGGAGCATATACCTTACCAGTGGCGGGCTGTTGTTCAACCCCAAGAAGTCTTGAGGGTCGGGGACGACGTCGGGGTGGTGTGGTGTACACATGCTTCCCCGTTTTCCCGTGGAAACAGCAAAACATGTACACCCCAGGATGCCGGATACACCAGAATCCGTTTTCTTGTGCGAATATCAGTGCGGGACCGGACATGAAGCATTGGTGTATAAAGTTCGGTTCCTTAATTAGGGGGAGGGGGGGAGGCTTCTTAGAAGCACCCTTGCTTCCCAGAAGGCGCGGGCCATGCCCATCGATGAAAAGGCCGGCCAGCACCTTCCCAGAAGCAGATTCCTTCCAAGAAGCCTTCTCCCTTCCCTCCACCCTTCTCTGCGCGTGGCCGACTTCGGACGGTGCATCCGTTCCAGAGCGTTCCCGAACGCTCTGAGGAGGCCGCGGCGTTTGAGACTTTCTCCAGAGCCGCGGGATCCCAGATATTCTCAAGTTACCCTCTCTCCGTTTTGTTCTAGGCCTCCTAGATGGGGTCGGAGTCCGAGTAGACGGGGTCGGAGGATCGCGCCGCATTGCCGATGCATCAGCTATGCGTCAGCGATGCGGCTCGATGTGGGGCCCAATTTTCTCCACGCCGACGTCGCCGATACATCGACGACGTCGCCAGTGCATGGCCGATGCATCGCCGATCCATCGCCGATACATCACCGATGCGACGAGATCCTCCGCCCCTGTCTACCCGGACCCCAGCTAGGAGGCCTCTACCTGTCCGCGTCCTGGCTTCGCCTCGCGGTTCATGCTGCCCCCGCCCCCCCCCCGTGCCTACTCCCACCCTCTGCCACAGGGGAGGCCACGCCACCTGGGCCCGGCGATGGACGCTTACTGCTCGGCCCCGGGCGTTGCCTGAGCAGCCCCGCCCGGGTTCGGTTCCTCCTGCGGGCACGTTCACCAAACGGCTTGGCTTGTCGGGGTGATTACAGCTGGGGGTGGATCTTCTGCCCTCTACGGCGGAGGCCCGTGCCAAGAAGCACCCTGCTTGCCTCCAGGCTGCCGTGGGTTTCTTAGGGGGGTTTCGAGGGTGCTGCGATGGAGAGCGCGACACTCCCGCACCACAAGTCCACGGACGTCCTGTGGCCTCGGGGCTGGGCTTCTTGTGGGAGGTCTCCTGTGGACTGGCCTCCACTGTACATGCCATGAAGGACAAGAGACAAACAACAAAAGACGACACACCAAGCACCATGCAGCAGTCCAGCACCGATCCTTCCCGGGGGACTGGACCTGGAGTCCACGTCGTGCGAAGGGCCGCTCTCCCTGACGAAGAGCGGCAGCCGGCTGTTCTGGGGGCGGATCTTTTCTCGCCTCTGCCGCCGCCCCTCTCGGGAGGGGCTTCCGTCCGCGCCCGCGCGCGGGCGGAGAGAGGGAGCGCGACGTCCCCGCACCGCAGAAATCCGTGGGCGCCCTGGGGCCTCGGCGGCTGGGCCTCGTGCGGGAGGTCTCTCGTGGACTGGCCTCCGCGATGCTCTGGGGGGCGGCTCCGCTCCCCGCTCTGCCGCCGCCCCCCCTCGGAGGGGCCCCGTCCGCGCCCTTCTCGCGCGCGGGCGGGGAGGGGGAGATCCTCCTCCTCCTCCTCCTCCTCCTCCTCCCCCTCCTCCTCCCTCCTCTCCTTCCCCCTCCCCCTCCTCCTCCTCCTCTCCTCCTCCTCCCTCCCCTCCCTCCTTCCCCCTCCCCTCCCCCTCCTCCCTCCTCTCCTCCTTCTCCTCCTCCTCCTCCTCCTCCTCCTCCCCCTCCTCCTCCTCCTCCTCTCCTCCTCCTCCTCCTCCTCCTCCTCCTCCTTCCTCTCCCCTCCTCCTCCTCCTTCCTCCTCCTCCTCCTCCTCCCCCTCCTCCGCCTCCGCCTCCTCCTCCTCCCCCTCTCCCCCTACGTCATCCACCTCCTCCCCCTCCCTCCCCCTCCCCCTCCTCCTCTCCTCCTCCTCCTCCTCCTCCTCCTTCCTCCTTCCACCTCCTCCTCCTCCCATCCCTCCCTCCTCCTCCTCCTCCCTCCTCCTTGTCCTCCTCCTCATCCTCCTCCTCCTCCTCCTCCTCACCCTCCTCCTCCGAGAGAGAGAGAGGCAGAGCGGCGGCCCCCTTCCCGGAGGGGCCGCGGCCTCGGGGGGAGGGCAGGGCGAAGCTCAAGCGAACGTGCGGCCCAGGCGCGGCGCGCCCGCGGGGGGGGGGGGGGTCGGAGGTGGATAGACCTCCTACCCTGACACGTCGATTAAGGAACTGGCCGTTTTCGGTTCGCGAGAGAGCGTCGCGGCCGTCATTTTTGCGGGTCCAGGTCCGTCGGTTTCGGTTCCAGGCCGTTTTCACTAAGGGGAGGTTTACGAAAGGGAGGTTTGTCCACCGCCGAGGGGGGCGGGCGGGCGGCAGATCCTCGGAGCCTGGTGCACGAGGGGCGCGAAGTGCTCCTCGCCTCCTCCTCCTCCTCGTCTTCCTCGTCCTTCTCCCCCTCCCACTTCCACTCCCCCTCCCCCTCCCCCTCCCCCTCCCCCTCCCCCTCCTCCTCCTCCCCCTCCTCCTCCCCCTACTCCTCCTTCCTCCTCTCCTCCTCCTCCTCCTCGAGGGCGAGGGCGCGAAGCTTCGCGCGTCGAGACTTCGGCGCCGATTCCTCCTCGCCCTCTCCTCGTCTCCGCTGGGAGGCGGCACGAGGGCGCGGAGATGTTCGTGCTTCGCGCTACGCGCGGCGCGCAGCGCGGAGCGCGTAGTTGGGAGCCCTTTGGTATACCCATCGGTCGTTGAAAGTGGGTAGTTTTAGAGTCCCAGGGCCCAATCTTCTTCAAGCGCCTTCCTGCTTCAAGGATCGGCATGCTCTTGCTGCGTGGTGTTACTCTCTGGGCGGGCCCGAACCCAACCTACTCTATCCGACTTTGTACTTCATGTTTCTACCTACTTCTTCCCACCGATGGGTACCTCTAAATTCCGTCTTCAGCGTCGACTAGCGTCGATTAGCGTAGCGCCGACTCAGCGTCGGCTAGCGTCGATGAGCGTCGACTTAGCGTTGATTGGCGTCGATCAGCGTCGACTAGCGTCGATTCGCAAGAGCCGACAAGATGGTTTTGGAGGCTCCCATGAGTTGCCACCGACGGGGGGGGGATGGTCTGGGGCAACGTTGGGTGGGGATGCGGTCGAGGTTGATTAGTCGGTCGACCCCGCCAAATCGAGGGTACCCTTTGGTCCTGTGCTCCGCGACCCATACCACCTGCGTTCCTGCGGCAACGTGGCCCTCGGAAGGGTCCTGTGTCCTCGCGCGTGTCCTCTCCAATCATTCCCGACTGTAGGCTCAGCTGGGAATGCGTTGACCCCCCTTGGCCAACCAATCGCCGACAAGGCCCCGACAGCCCCTCCCGCATAGGGGCGTGTGGTTCCGCTACCATGGCCCGTCGCCGACGTGTCTCCGATTCCAGGTCGCTGTCGCCCGTCCTGGGCCAGTCCCGCCTACCGTTCCACTTTAATGGGGGGCAGGGCGCCGTGCGAGCTCCGCAGTTACCTCGGATGTTCCTGCCATGCAGTCACGGGGATGGACGACACACGAAGCAGCTCCGGTTTGGGGGGGGGGCTTGCTGTTTCTTTGGTCCTTCCACGGTGGTTTGTCAGTGTCGCTCCCTGTGCGCCCAGGCGCTCCGGTCTGGGGTTGAAAGAGCGCCCACACCGCACAGTTGATTAGCGACTTGCCCGTTTGTCGGCTCCCGGGAGGGTGTCACGGCCGCAATGTGTGCGGGCTTGCGCTCGCCGGGTCTGGTCCTTGGTCGTTTTCCCATCGAGGTCTGCATGAGCTTCGTACCTTGCTCAGCGTGCCTTGTGGCGGTAGCTCGACTGGACCATACCTGAGCGTGCCAGATCAACTCAGCTCCATTGAACAGGTGTTTCTGCAAGGCGTGCCACGGGACGCCAGGAGAGGAGACAAGCATGCACTTGGTGTAAAGATCTTCCGTGCAAGAGGTCTCCTTGGACTTGGTCCCTGGGAGGGGTGGAGCAGGCGTGAGGATTTGTGGCAGGGAGAGGCGGGAGCCTGGGGATGAGGACTTGGATTTAGATTGTAGCGGTGGTGTTGGTGGTGAGGGTGATGGTGGTGACGATAGCGACGATGACGGTGACGGCGATGGCGGGCGATGACGGTGTAATGCTGCGATCATGATGACGCCGATGTCGATGGCGATCATGAC